GGATTCGGGTTCTGTAGAGAACCAGAATAGTCCAGAATAAAAACTGTAGTTAACGCAATTTGGAAAATCGTAACTAACGAAAATTCTTTGATATCTTCAAGGTCTCAGTTGTCTCTCTAAATTATACTTCATGATCATTTAAAATGATGGCTTCATGTTTATTGGAGTAATTATTGAATGCTGCCAGGTTTTAACACCCCAAATGAATTGATTTCGAAAGAACAAAGTTCCTATTATTTTTAAGCAAGTTACTGGGTTGCTGGCTTAGCAAAATATATTTTTTTCAACAGTGTTAAATCAACATACGAAACTATTGATACTGTCGATTGGTTTCGTGGCTATATATATAACTAAAGCTTTTTAATTAATACTATAAGATATTTTATTAGAGAACAATAAAATCTGGAATAGTTTAGTACGCATAATACTTGTGTAATAGAAAGTAACCACAACTAAATATATCTAAATTTTTTAATGAAGCTTTTAATACTACAGTATTATTTATCAATACGTGTTATAACTAAAGGATAACTTTACAAGTTGTGAGGCAAACAAGTATTAGTATATAAAATAAAGAATTTATTTACTTTAAATACTATAGCATATTGAAATACATATAAGACAAATAAAAATAATTTTTTTTGAAACTTGTATATAACAAATAAATTTAATATAAATAATACCAAGTTCACTTATTGTTATGTTGAAATAAACACTAAGCTCGCTACTTAAATAGTCCAGGTAATGACACCATATTTTGGCATGCTTATGCCTACTGATACTAGAGTTTATGAGCTATAGTTCAACTGAAGATATTAATTCGATAGTTCGGTATATTTACGTAACTGTATAATCCAGATTCTCTCACGAACTGCTATCTCAGCTATATCGCATAACAATCTCCCGTGTATTAACAAACAAATTTAATAGTAAAAATAGATATGAATTGCAAATCATAACTTTAAATTTCCATAGTTATATGAAAAAAATTATATGATTTGTGTAGTAATTATTTCAAAATTATAGCACAGATGTGCATACATATTTACATAAGCAATTAAAGCTGTCAATAATAATATTTACTGAGTAGATTTCGAATTGCTTGAAATGTGGTTAGGCAGTTAGTGAATATCAACGAGTTAATATTTGCAAAAGTTATTACTCAAATGAATGCCAAGTAATGTGATCTAACAGAAGACCTAAGGTGCAATATTTTGTACATAAAACATAGTATAGTCAAATAATAAATAATATTCATTACTTACGTATTTAAATTAATATAATGAATGTATAAGTGATTTAAAGTGTTCGATCATTATGATGTTCGAACAGTTTTAGTATGCTTGAATCGAACACTTTATAAGTACGAGGTTCTCAATGATGTTCGAGCTATTCGAACAGTCCAATGGTTTCTTAATGTTCGTTTTGTTTTTATATAAATCCATATAACAGCAAATGCTCGAACACAATATGGTGTTCGAACGATTTCCAACGGCTCGCTGTGTTCAAGACCATAAAAAAATTGAATAAGTCAAAAAAGTGATGATGGTTTTACTCTACATTGCGCAAAATCTGTTATTCTTTAATTTAATCTTTGACATAATAAGAAAAACAATCTCATTTAAGAAACCAGTAATTAAACTAAATTCTAGTCTATATTAAGAAGTTTTTACAGGTTTTTTTTTAATAATGTTACTTCCATGCAATTTTGTTGCGTTGTCAATCTACCCATTTCCAACATTTATGCGGTTTTCATATCTGATATCATATCTGATGATATCATATCTGATGTCCTTTTATATTGAATACATACTAACTATGTAATAAACCCCTTTACACAGTTTAAGAAAGGTCTATTTGGTGGGATTTGATTTACATTATTATCTTATTATACAGGTTGATTTTTTGTTTATTTGCTTAAATTTATGACTCTTAAAAAAATTACATAGTAAGTGCAAAATTTTGAGGAAGTTAAAAGTAGAAGGAATAAATCGACAACTGAGAAAAAAATGTATATTAAACTATATTTATATAATTAATTTCAAATATTTTTATAAATGCTAAATTTTATAATAAACTAGCTGACCCGGCGAACGTTGTTTCCCCTTGCAATTAATTTTCCTGGCTCAGCTGAGGTATAATATTTGTTGTTATTCAACTTAACATTTAGCATTTTAATGCGAAAATTATTTTGAATTAATTTTTTATTTTGAACTACAAAAAGTCCACATGCATTACTTATGTTACAAATATTTTCATGTTACTTCAAATCCTTATAAGCACTACATTTTAAATGAAAAACGATTATTGTTTATCACTTCATCATACTAAGCAATAATTGACCTCAGATCTGCATACTTGTAACCATTTTAGAGATTGACCTCAGAGATTTTAAACTTTTGAAACAAATCAAAGTAAGCATGAATTAATTTTAAATTTCTAATATAAATGTATATGGATACCAAAAAATAAAAAATTAATTAAAAAGACATTATCCAGTGGGCCAAATTGTGAATCTAAACCTTCCTTGAATCCACTTGAACGCACACAAAAAATTTCATCGAAATCGGTTCAGCCGTTTAGGAGGAGTTCACTGTCAACACACGTACAGAAGAATTATATATATAAGATAATAATAAAATAATAATTAATAAAACATACTAATAAAAATAAGTACAGTTCAATTCTCGAACATTATTACCTATCACACAGAAGTTAACATATTTGAGTGAAGAAATGTCGAATTAAGGATTGTAATGAAATATCATAATTAACTTGAGTTTCTGCATATAGTGATATTGAGCCTGTATGTACAACAAGTTTAGGAGCTTAGATGAATTCACTATTGCCGTTACGAATAAATTCTGTACTAATCGAGAAAACTATGTTGTTGGTAGTATCCTATTAAGTAGATTAAAAACAAGGATCAGTTAAGCATCACTCCCCTGGCAGTTTTAAAGGTACTACGAGCAATAGACGTGTCCAATTGGAAGCATTATGTGCTCTCTAAACTTAACCTTACTTTATATTGCATTGAACATTACGTAGTTGTTGTATTTCACAAAATTTGTAATATTTTTATATGACAAATCATATGATTTATGCATTTAATACGTTATATATGATTTTGTATGAACATTGATCGTATTTTTAACAACAACAAATGATACTAATATGATTAAGATACAATACCACATTTTGACCCAATTTCGAGTCTAACTGACTGAAACTAGTACTAACAAATATGGTTAGCGTAGCAAAGCTTAACATGAGTAGAAATAAGTTAATACTCGAGTAGCTGCACAGATACAAGTGAAAAGAGACAACTCCGTGGGTTAATCGGACTGTCTTTTGTAGGTATATGAAAATATTACAACGCGTACGCCACAACGCCTACAAATTAATTGCAAACTGTGTTAGGCCTATGGCAAGCCTATCCGAGTATAATAGCCAGCAACAAACAAGTTTATTGAAGCAAATGATTAGATTTGTTGAAACTTAAAAGAGAGGAAGCGAAAATTTAATAAATTCGAAAAAAATTAAAAGTGATAAGATGGTAAACTTTCTAATGTGTGACAGTGTGCAGATATTATGAGATATTAATATGCGCTACACTTGGAAGTAGTTACTTCAGTTTCGTTGTAATATTTCGTAATATGATATCAAAGGTATCACGTAATTGATTTTTAATATAGATATTTGGGTGTAAAACATTTACTTTTCTACTGCATTTGTATCTTCTTTCTAAAATGTGGGTAATGAAAGATATTTTAGCTACGCAACTTTTACTTTTACATATATCTTTTACGTTTGATATTACTTTTACAAAC